TTGCGGAGATTGCCGGTAGAAGCAGGACGGAATACTGGTGGACGCCTGCAATTTAGAGATCCAGTGGGATATGGCATCTACGTAAAACACGTACGTCTCGGTTTTACCCTTTGGCATTTTCAAAGTCTAACAAAAGACCTTGAAAGTTATTTTACATTATCGAGTTGCTGGCAATTTTGAAAATCGGACAACTTCTATCTAAGAGTGCCCTTCCCAGACTCATCTGATCGAAAGCAAACAAGCCACGAATTTGAGAATATGTCGTGTCCTGTGCGTACTTATCCGCTTCGCAAGCCTGCAAACCGTCCTATTCCAATCCCCAAGTATCAGCTCTTATTCGGAAGCGACCCAAGCCACGTTTATACGGCCTACATTGGGTTGCAACAGCACTCCAGCGACCAAACTACCTCGGAGGCAAAAGACCAAATTGCCAGCGACATCGAAACATGGATTCAAGCAGAGGACGGTCCGTCCGCGTCAGAGTTGCTGACATTGATCGGGGGGAATGAGCAGGAGGATACCTTGATTTGGGTCTGTTACTGGCTGGATGCTGAGAAATTTCGCCGTAGCTTAGAGCTACTTTCACTTAGTTCTATCTATGAGAGACTGGGTGAATCTGGACGCGATTCAGTTGGGATCTGGAGCGAAACTTTCACCACCCCCATTTCACGGTTAGAGACTACATACTCAGGCCCTGACTACCTTCCAGGCTTGGGCGGACTCCCTGATACTAGAGCCGAGGAACACTTCTTTTCCGCTTATTGGGGTGCAGCAAGAGATCGTATTCCCGATGCTGCTCATGACCTTTTCCCTCGGACTGAGTCGGCCGTCCCGCCGCTGTCTCCCCCACATGGCATAAAACAGCATCTCGTTGGCACCAACCCTAACAACCTTGTCCACATTCGTTCCGGTCAGCTCTGGGAGGATTCTCCCCAAGATGAGACGGATGCGTATGAGAAAAAACTGGAGCCATCCTTGCACCAAGGTCTTAAACATCTCTGGGAGAACCAACAGGAAACTGGTGCTGTCGGTATCCGCTATCTCAGGAACCAAGATCGCCATCCTTCTAGTACCAGCCGTCCTCCACGGAAGGAAACCTGCGGCGCTGGCTTTTTCAGCAGTCTTGACAAGCTAGAAAAGTGGGCAAAGACTCATACTCTGCATTTGGCAATCTACCGCGGAGCTCTACAGCACTATAAGGAGTTTGACGACACTAGGAAGCTGCGTACTTGGCATGAAGTCTCCGTGCTAAGAGAAGGAGACGCGAAGTTCGAGTACATAAATTGCGTGCCGTCGACCGGGGTGATAGAATCGATTCCACTTGAGGTTCGTCGCAATTTGTCTGACAAAGAATGAGGGACGATAAACGGATGCTGTCTCGTCGTGATTGGGTCATTCTGTCTAAGTTAAATAGCTTAGTGCACGGCAAACATCTTTGCCTGTCAGTGGCGCAGGAAATGAAGTACATTTGGCGTGTCTACGAAAAATAATATTGCAAGATAATTATTCAATCAATTTGTCAAGATACATTGAACCAATCAGCTTGTTTTATCGCAGCAAAAGACCTTACGCCACCTATTAAAGCTTATGATCCCTATATAGCGAAATTCAATACTTGTATGGGTATGTCCCGCCTCACGATACCGTAGTCGGAATAGAAGTTTGCATAGAAATGGTAGAAAAAATAGGTCTGACACTAGCTTCGTAGGTAGCTGCCGGTACGTACAGCAGATATACAGTAAGCCATACATCAATTTTTGTTTTGCCCAGAAATAATATCACTGCAAGCACTTAGGGAAGATACGTGCTCTCAAAGCTCCGTAACAAGATCTAAAGACGATTAGACATATGAAAATAGAAAATCAGCCTCAGCTTACAAGTGCAGATGCTAAGGCAACTAGTAACAAGCCCTGTTATTCTTTTGTTCGGAGCCGTTTTGGTACCGCTATGGGTCCGTTTTGCCACATCACAATTACCTAACACTGCGGATTTGCAGAAGGGGGGCGGAGTCCCGACGGATGTGGCAACATTAATACCTTAGCCATGTGGCCACACGGACTCGGACTGGAGCCGTCCTCTATACCTTCATGGGCTCTTCTCCGCATGCAGGCCGGTTCCGCATGATTACTGGGTTATGTCGCAATATTGCTTCAAAGGTAGATTGGCATGACATCACTAAGTTAACGGCTGATCTTATGAGTTATTGAAAATATATGACCTCAACCCATGGCCGCCGGCATAAAGCATACCCTCACAATATTACTTAAACGAACAGTTAAACATATAAGTTTCCATAGGAAATACCACGTAGCCCAACCTCAACATTAGCACGAACCGGTTCCCATCAGTCATCATGGAGCCTATTTCAGTTGCCATTGGTGGTATCGCAGGCCGGGCGATACTCTTCCATAATTGTTATATTGCAGAAACTCTTGCTAGACTTTGGAGAGGCGAGCCTGTTGATACCTTTCGACGAATTCACAACTTTTACGATGCACAGTCCGAAGACGAAGGCCCCGGATCGGCCTTCCAGGCGAACTGCGATGCAGCTTTGAATAGTGGGTTGCCTGGACCCATATACCTTGAGAAAGATGGCCTCTCTCCCGAACAGTGTGAGAGCTTGGATCGCCTTACGGATCTGGCCGGACGATACAGAGAGATGATGTCGTCGGACGAAGACATGTCACTCGACAGGCTACAGCGCAGGAGTATCTGTTCCGCAATCCTAGTTGTGCGTGCCTCTCGAACGGACAAACTCGATCTGTCTTTCGGGTGTGGCCCTCGCAACTTGGTAGGCCGAGCCTTAAATGCCATGAGACGAGACGCAACTCAGCTGGCAGAGCGCCACCTACCGTGGCTAGAAAACAATTTCGTCTATGGGACAGAGATACTAGACGTCAATATCAGCAACCCGGAATTACCAATCCTTACAATCAAGAACAGAGATTCACAGGAGATAAGCACCACTCGCTGTAATCTTTTCATCAAAGCCACTGGTATGACATGGAAGCTTCCAGTCGAAGACGAAGTGGCATCACATGCGTATACTGGCGTGGCCAGTTACTCTGACTTGCGAGATTATCTCTCAAGAAATCGATTACTCGATGGCGATGGGCTTGTGAAACCAGGCTCGAAGATCTTCTTCGGAGGGGCAAGCCTTTCAGCGATTGACCAAGTTGGTGTTCTTTTGGCCATGACACGGATAGTCCGAGTCGACCCCAGTGTGGAAGAAGGCTTTGTCATCGACGAAAGCGAAGCTAAGAAGCATACCGGACTTGCAACACTTTTCAGTCGTACACAAGGTGAAATGCTCCCAGCTCGATTTTGGGAACGATCACCGGCTCCCGATGGCGACGAAAGTGCCGGCGTGACGGCCGAGATGATATTCTCTGCCCGATTACAAAAAGACATGGATCAATTCTCCACATACGTACGCCTTGCGCGAGTGCTGACCGCCCTACGTTGCAAGAAGCTCCCAAGAGATGTTGATGGCCGAACCACAATGTCCCGAAGATTAGCGGAAATGATCCTCGAAGACGAAGAATACATAAATAAAAGAAAGTACATGACTGATACTTTTATATTCCAGAGATATCTCAGATCATTCTTTCTCTCCCATGGTGAGGAATGGGAGTCATTTGATCCGGAAAGCTACCCTACCATAGCCCGAGAGCCGTGGGACACGTATCGAGCCATGGCCTACAATGCCACCCACCCTTCGGAAGAACAGAAAATCGACGACGAAGAACATTTCGACGCTTCCAAGCTTTTCATCAAGCACGTCAGTGCTGTTCCCACTCATTTGCATCTACTTATAACTCGTCTTTTTGACCTCGGCGTCGTAACTTGGAAACAAGGCTCTTATTCCGAGGTGACATTCTCATCTAAAGAAGGCTTATACAGACTCGGCACGGACAAGTTCGACGCGCTGATTGCCAGTCGCGTCTACACCGCTGATGCAGATGCAATCAAGGAAGGTATGGGAGAACTGCTGTCCGGGCCATCACCAAGCGAACCCATTTTCAGCAAGGGTCGTTTTCTCCGGACGCCTGCGAAAAAGGTCGCCCATATCATGGAGCTGGGACTCGTTGGGCAGGGCACAGTCTCTGAAAAACGGCATGCTCATGTCCAATGGAAGGACACCAACTCCTTTTCTGGCGCCTATCAACTCGGGCCAGTCATAGCAAAGACTGTTGCTATATTCGAAACAGTGATAGGTCGCCAGGTTCCGACTCCAATGGAATTCATGATTAAGTTGTACGAGCATTCACTGCCAACCTGCGAAGACTTTCAAAGACAGGTCGAGAAATTTCGCGCTCCTTTCGAACAGCTCGTTCATTTCCTTCATACAGCGGAGCTGTTGGAGAGAACATCTCTCGATGGGAGAGAATTCACCGCAAGAATGCGTCAGGTTACAGGGTTGAATTTGAACAAGGGGACAGCGGACCAAATCCGATTTGTTGATGATGAAACCAAGAGAGACCATGAACGATCTCAACCAGTAGCAAGTCGTTTTGCGCCTGTTGATCTTTCTCGTTTTGAAGCTATGTTTCCGGACTTTTCCCTAACGCAACTGCACTCCATGAAAAAGACCCTGGACCGAGAGAGCTTTGGCGAAAGCGGCCAGATTCAAAAGGTTATCGTGACACAGTGACAGATTGGGATACACCGAAGAGTATAGATAACAACATGTGGCGTATCCGTGTAGGAGGTCTGATCGAGAGTCTGGACGAGCCTGGAGTAGGATCGTTCACTGAACCTCTATGTGAATTGAACTGGACTTGCCCTGTAGCTACCATATAGTTTGAACACAGTTTAATAGTCTTCGAGATTCGAGCTGCGACTAGTGTATCGTCATGTTGAAGTCGTTTTTTTTGTATGCACCAAAAGACTAAAGCAATATAACTTCCAAGGTCTAGTTGGTGTAAATTAAATACTCTCAACGCTGGACTCGGTGATGGTGGACGTGATATGTCACACCAAGAACTCCACACACATCCGCTCGGTTAGCTCAGTTGGTTAGAGCGTCGTACTAATATTATACAACATAGTATAACATCGGTAATGCGAAGGTCATGAGTTCGACCCTCATACTGAGCATCTGTTCCTTTTTGGTTCGTGTTGTATCGTCACTTTTGCGTGTTGATGTTAAGCCGCACCGCGTCTACAGATGAGAAGAAATAGCTTTCTCAGTGGCGTGGACCTGAAACATATCTGCCCTAATCAGCATGAAATGGTAACTTTGCTTGGTGTTATCGCCAATCGTGGTTACGGATCTGCGGGGCTGTAGGGCTGGTGGGCAGGGCTGGAAATTAGTACTACTAATTTAGTACTAACCTATACTAATACTAATTTAGTTTAGTATAAAGCAATACTAATACTAACTTAATAAATATAAAGCTGTACTAATACTAATACTAAAAAATTTAGTAATACTAATACTAATACTAAATACTAAAGCGTATTATATAAGAATTTTCTAGAATTTTCTAGAATTTTCTAGAATTTTCTAGAATTTTTTAATAATTAATAATAATAAAATTCTTTTAAATTCTATGAAATTCTATAAAATTCCATGTATTATAAATCGAGTTTTTTTATTTATAATATGAATAATTATAGAATAATATAGAATTTTTTATTTATAATACATAGAATTTTTTAAAAGTTTATATAAATAACTAAAGAGTTTTAAACTTTAAACTTTGTTTATATTTAATAAATAAGAAATACATAGTTTATATTTAATGTTAAAAATATGCTTTATTATAAGCATATTTTCTATGATTTACCCGATATTCGCTTATAGAATGTTATAAAAGTTCATAGAATTCTATAAAATTCCGTAGAATATTCTTAAATATTTTACGTTACTTAACTTCACTTAACTCCACTTTTTTTATTTATAAGCTTATATTATTAATGTTTATTAATAACTATTAATATAATAAAATATAGTAGAAATATATAGAATTAAAAGAGATTGTGTATATATAAAAGTCTTATTTCTTAATTTTTAGATTAACTTTAACTTTAACAACAATAATAAGTTTAATACATTTATTACATAAACACTATTACGGTTTTACCTTTTTTACATAACCTATATACAACGATATATTCGTTTAATATTTAATATTCCTACTTTTAACGATATATTACTGGTTATTTAAATATTTTATTTATTATAAACTTTTTATTATAGATTTTACTACAAGCTTTACTTCGAATAATACGAACGAAAATACTATTATTATAAACGATAATAATAATAGTTCTACCGAAGAAAATGCAACTAACAAGTCGAATATACAACCGAATAATTCGCTTAAAACGAATATTTCTAGTTCGTTTAATTTAAAAGATTTAAATAATAAATCTTTTAAATTAAACGATAACGAATCCGATATTTATATAATAAAAAAAGGGTTATTTACTAGAACTTTATTACCTATAAATAAAGAAAAAAACCGGGAAATGCTAGTACAATATACTATATAAGTTTTTATTTCTTATTTTTTAATATATTATTACTAATACTTTTAATAGTTGTAATTATAAATCAACAATTAAAGTTAAAAGCTTTCAATCTTCAAATTTCGTTAAACACTATAAAGCAAAACATCCAAATATTGCATATAACAAAAAAACAGAAAAGAATTTAATTAAAAGTAAGTTTTTATTTATATTTATATTTAAAAATTGCTTTATTAATAGATATATATATTAGAAAACGAAATTTTACAACAAAAAAACGATTTCTTCAACCTACAAACTAGAAAACAGGCTCAAAACTACACGAATAACCTAGATGTTAAAGAAATTATTAATAATAAAGTTTTAAACTTTATTATTAATAATAATCTATCTTTTAGTATTTTAGATTCGGAATCGTTTAAAGATTTATTTAATTTTTTAAAACCGTAAGTAAATATTTTTTTATTTTTTTACAAAATATATTCTAATAATATTATTATAGCGATTTTACGATTAATCGCCATAAAATTAAAACTATTTTAGAAGCTTCTTTTAAAAGCTCTTTAATAGATTTTAATAATGAATTATAGTTTAATATTAAAAATAATAAAACTTTTTCTATTATTTTTAATATATGGACTTCTAATTCACAAACAGCGTTTATAGGAGTTATTATCTTTTATATTAGCCCTAGTTTTAATTTAATTTATAAATTAATCGGATTTACGGAAATTTCGGATCGGCATATAGGTTTAAATATATTTAAAACGTTTTTAAATGTATTAAAACCTTACCCTGATCTTACTTTAAACAATATATTCAGGTACTTGATTTTATTATTTTCTAATTTCTTACTTTTACTTTTACTAATATTTAATAGTATAACTAGAGATAATGCAGCGAATAATAACACGTTTTTAAAAGCTTTTCAAAGAAATTATTTAAATTCTACAAATAAAGCTTTTATTAACGATATTCGTTATGTTTCCCATATTATTAATATAATAGTTTAAAGTATACTTAAACAGTATATTTTAACTATTAACGATCAAGAAAATCTATTAAATTATATAAATAATAGTTTAGAAACTGAATATCGAAACGAACAAACAAGTAAGTTATTTATTATTATTATTATTATTATTATTATTATTATTATTATTATTATTATTATTATTATTATTATTATTATTATTATTATTATTATTATTATTATTATTATTATTATTATTATTATTATTATTATTATTATTATTATTATTATTATTATTATTATTATTATTATTATTATTATTATTATTATTATTATTATTATTATTATTATTATTATTATTATTATTATTATTATTATTATTATTATTATTATTATTATTATTATTATTATTATTATTAATATTAAATACTAACTTTATATTAGATTTATTAACTCGAATTCAAAGAATTGTTGTATTAACTAAATATACAACAGAAATAAAAGAGTTATTAATCGATGGAATTAATCAAGCAAAAAGAAATTCTATTTTACCGTTGAATTATAATATTAAAAAAATTCCACTTGGTAAGTTTTATTTCTATTTTAATTTTATTATTATTTATTATTTATTAATACTGATAAATTTAAAAATAACGCTACAAGGTGGAATTCAACATATAATATACTGAATATCTTTTTAAAATTAAAAGAGCCACTTGAATATATTAACCGAAATACGGCTAATAACGAATTTCAAGATCTTTTTTTAAATTCTAAAGACTGGTTTATTATTAAAGAGCTAAAAACGCTTTTTAATATATTCATTAAACCGTCTACAAGATTACAAAGCAAAATATATATTACTTTACCTACTGAATTATTATATATTTATAAAATATATAATAATTTAGATGCTTTTATTTTAAAAGCTAAAAATCGAATTCAACAAGATCTAAATTTAGTAAATATATTTATAATAACTCTATATTATAAACTTTATTATATTTACTAATTTTTTAAGTTATAATATTATCTAATTTAATAACTACTATTAAATCTAGTATTATTAAACTAGAAAAATACTTTCCACGTTATTTAAATTATTCTGATTTAAATAACTATAAGCCCTTTATTTATAGTATTATTTTAGATCCTAGATTTAAAATAATGCATTTTAAAGTAAACGAGCTTTTATATTTTTACAAAAATATTAAAAACGATATTATTCGATTATTTAAAATCGAATATGATAAGTAAGTAATTTTAAATCTAACTTTAAAGTTTTTTACTAATAAAAAACAGTACAACCTTAGAATTAAATACTAAAAAAATAACGTTTTAAATAACGAAGATTTAAATCAAAATAATTCCGATTCAGAGGATGATTTTTATTTAAATTCTTCGTTAAACAATAATAAAACGGAATTATCAGTATATTTAAAAGAAAATACTGTACATAAAAAAGTAAGTTTGATTATTTAATTATTAGAATTTTTAAAGTTTATATTAATTAATTTTAGGTTAATCTTTTAGAATATTGGAAAAATAATTCAGCTAGATTCTCAATTTTAACAAATTTAGCTAGAAAATATCTAGCAATTCCAGCTACTTCAGCGGTTATTGAACGAGTTTTTTCTATTACTAGTAATATAATTACTAGAAATCGAAATAGTTTAAGTCCTAAAACGGTTAGTCAGCTGGTTTTATTAAAAAAATGGAAAATTTAGGATTTAAACGAATTATCTATCGAAAACGAAGATAATAACCCTGAAAACGAAGAGGAATAATATATATATGTTTTTTAGATTTTTTTTAGTTTTAATAACAGTTTTATTATTAATAAGAATATTAAAGCTATTATAAAACAATTTATATATAAAATTTTACTTATTTTAATATACTTAATAAAAGTATTGTTATTTATTTAAATATTAAAGTTATTAAAAAATAAACACGACTATTAAATTTATTATTTAATTTCAATTTAAACTATATATTAAACTTTTATTTTTACAGTATTTTATAACTATTAGTATTTTTAAGTATACTAAATACTAATCTAGTATTACTAAATTAGTATTAGTATAGTATAAACTACTACTAATACTAACTTAGTATTCGAAAATCAGTATTAATATTAATACTAATTTAGTATTACTAATTTAGTAACATATACTAAAGTACTAATTTCCAGCCCTGGTGATAATGTTAAATAAGCTTTATAAAAAGCGATTTTTAGTGTGTTTTATAGTTTTTATTAGCTTTTAATATTTTATAGCTTTATGTAAAAAGGTTAGCTTTAATTTATAAGTATATAAAATAGTTAGTTTAAAGAATTTACTGTTTAATTAGTAGTAAATATATTTTTAAGGCTAAAGCAGACTTTGCTATTTTTTTAATCTTTTTTATAACTATTAGAAAAGCTTGTTTTTACAGTTTATTTAAGACCTTTAAGTGCTGCTTTATTATTATTTCTTAAAACGCTTTTATATGCAGCTAGTACTATACTATATTATAGTACGTGATCTATAATATAATTATTGCTTAGTATAACTATTAAAGTTGTAATATATTACATCCTTAATCGGAGCTTAAAATAAACTTAAATGTTTATATTAATTTTTAAACTTTAGTAATAGTAGCTGCTATA